AAAGCATAAGTAAGCACGTTAGGTAAAAAAGGGTTAAAAGGAATAATTATGGATAAGAACAACCATCAGTTTTAGGAGAAAGGAGCAGAAGGTATTTCTACTCCTAGTCCAGAAGAATTGCTAAGGACTATCGACAAACTAAAGAGGAAAATTGAGAAGTGCAGTGTGGACATATCAGATGTACGTCTAATTCTGCCACGGATTTGTCATCCAGGACAATAAGTGTGAAACTTGCGTTCACTGATAAGGAGGTCAGTGATGGCATACGAAGTCAAGGGGACAGGAACCTATCGACTAGAGCGTGCCAAAACTCAGAGGGGCTGAAAACCCGAGTTTAAATTTTTGTCTGGAATAGACAGTACTGTCGGGTATAGACAGTGTGGAGGAAGTCCACAGGGCATGTGAAGGAAGTTCACAGCTAGGGGCACAGGGGATCCACTTTAGTCGATTATTGTATGCAAGTCAGGGGCAACAAGGTACTGCACATAAACAACGAGCTACACTGTGAAGGCAGGAATGCTGAAGGACCACGTAGCGAGGAAAATTCGAACCCTCAATTCGAAGAGTACAATAGACCGCAAAGGTATACGAATAACTCATGGAAAAATAATAAACCAGAAAGTACTCACAAGTTTAAAACTACTGAATGCTGGTCACATTCCCGGTGAAGAATTAGCTTGTTCTAAGCAACCTGGTTCGATTAAGCTTTGTGAGGAAATAATTATACCAGGTTTACATGGTTGCAAATATAGTGTATCTGTAAGTACTCGAGTCCCTACGGGCACTGTGATTTGTGAACTGTTGAACCTTACCGCAGCAGAAAGAACTCTGCGGCTACAATAGTAAAGATACCAGAACCCATTAAACAACAGAACAGAGAAATCGTTATTTGTATACTAAATTTGACAGCCACACCTCAGACCATAAGTAAATCCACCCGTCTCATAAAATTTTGTACCTGTGGAAGAAGTAGACTGGACGATCCGAATAAACACCCAGATCGTTCATATGGGTTGCATTCAAAGATAGAATGTAGGCATCTAGATATGGCGGAGCAGGAGTTGGACTCCAGGGAAAATTGAGAATTCCAGGGTTATGTAGAGATATATAGGTATATATCTGCCAAGGATATAAACCGCTAAAAGCCAACAGGCATATGAGACATCGGAGAAGTTTAGAAACCTTACATATGGGAAAAATCATACACCAGATACTTTTGAAGATCGAACATCTTATAAGAAGAAAAATATACTGATAGAGAAAGGGTTAGTATAATTTAACAGAGGAATTCTAAAAGGATAAAACAAAAGAAAGGTTCAGAGTAATAATTTGCATAATTTTTTTAAAGGTACACTGAAAGAACACAATGATTTTACAATCTGAATATTTTTACGTTTTTTTATATGTTGGTATTTGATAATTTTTTTTGTATACCATTTTTTTATTTCAGGAAGAGTAATAGTTTTTATGTCTTAATTGAGTGGTGATTTATTGTTTAGAGATGAAAGAAAATAGCGTTAAAGGTTATTTTCGGGTATTTTATTTTCAAGACTAATTTTTTTTATGAGGTATTAAAAATATTTTTATTTTAAATATAGGCTTTGAAGGTTTATAGATTTTTTGTATTAACTTAAAGAGTTTCATTGTTTATTCTATTTTACCTAAATTTACTTACTTATTACATTTCCTTTTCATTAAATTTTAGTAAATTTATTTTGAGATTTAAATAATGGTTTTTCAGATAATATCCTATGTTTTACGATTTTTTTATTTTTTTTTATTGATATATATTTGCCAAAAACTTTTTTCATTTAAATGCTATTTACCTTTTATGGCTAGTATACAGGGTTTTGTTAGATAGACCATTACCTGGGTCTAGAAAAAAGGTTTTGTAAGTTATAACAGTAACCTAATGGATAATTTGTTTTTCTTTCAGCGTTTCAGATAATTACTTTGCCTATGAGAATTTTTCCTGCAATATTTTTTTTATTTAATTTAATAAGTCTTTATCTATTTATCAATCTTTCTTATTTTATAACTCTTTATCTAAATTTTACTTAATTTAATTAATAAGTCACAGATATATTTTTTTAAAGAGCTTTAGCTTATGAGGTTTTAATAATTATTTTTTTTATTACTAACGTAGACACGATTTGATTTGAAATTTATGTTATTAATTGAATTCTTTTGATAAGATTTTTTTTTTTATTTTTTTATCATAATAGACAGAGTGTTATTATCCTATACTACGAATTAGGGACAAGAATAAAAGTGATGTTTTAAGTTTTAGGATTTCTGAATTTTAATTAAGGGAACAATTTGTTAAAAATATAGAAAATTAGCTAACCCTGGAGCTCGATGATGATAATATATCAGAAGTGAAACAGTTAACGTTAGATCTAAGATGTATGTATAGGTGTACAGAGGTTTAGAAAGGAGAATACCGGGGACGATAGAAACGTAGAGCAAGCAGAAGATGTATTAGGGTATAAAAATAAGTCGATACCAATGACCATAGATTTCATGTATTATGCTATTGGTAGTTTTTTCAGCTATAGTTCAGAGCGTTTTAAAGTTTTTTTTTATGTTACAGTAAATTTTAAGTTTATGGATTCCTTATTCTGCCAGCGGTCTACCTCACGACCATAGACTTACTTTATTAGATTTATACCATTAAGGGACGAAGAAGAGGGATATCTTGCGGGACTTGTAAGATCGCAACAGATGGGTAAAGGATATTCTGAATACTACAGTGTGATGTTCTCTGAAAGGTTAACCATGTCAGGAGTATTTGTCATGCAGTATCTTGAAAACCAAAGTAATGTTCAGCTAGAAGATCAATTTGAATTACGGTTACCAGAAGGTTAGGCATGTTCAAAAACCAATAGTTATTGATTTCCAACAACTAATTTAGTCAGTCAATTCGTTTAGTCTCCTAAAAGCTATAAATCAGTTAGATTTAGCGGATAGAATAGGCATCCAACTAGAAGTAAGCGTGGTGTCCAATGCCACCTATTAATCGGATAGTTGCACTAAAACTACATACGTATACCCGAATTTAATAATTCGAACAGACAACATAAAGACACGTTATAAGAAAGGAGTTAGTAATCATTCGGAATTTAAAGTATTGGACAGTTGGTATAGTAACATTTTTAACCAAGTTTAACAATTTGAATGGGATCAGTTAAAAGCATGTGAAGATAGAGAAGACTCAGATATCATTCTGTTAGTTAAAATATGTCTAACCTCGACACAGTTAGGGAGTGGAAACACATCTGGCTATCCTGCAACTAAATCCTGCAGCTCAGAAAGAGAGAGACGCTAGTTCTATAGAGACGCTTGTTCAAAGTGAAAAGGAGAACGGTCAGAAGAAATCAATAACGTAATATGGATATGGAAGCAACATAGAAGCGACCCTTATAACCTCTCTGATTGAAAGCCACACTGTCTAGAATGGACTTGATGCATAGTAAGAGATTACAAACGAGGCACGGAGGACCGAGCAGAGGCGGTTTAACCTCTATAGGCATGCGTTCGTTCGTGTGACCTATGCCAGTTTCCACTCAAGACATGTGTACCTACTTTTCATAATTCAGTTTGCCAATAAACGTCATCAGATGACATCAGTGAGAAGGGTAACAAGATGGATTCCTTCATGCAGAACCTAAATCCAGATTTATTATAACGTCGAAGCGGAATTTTGGTTAATCTCCAACTAGCAGCGCAGTTCCAGCGAGGTCCTATGGTTAATCTGAATGAGACATCCACATACTATTCATGGAAACATCCACATTATTCCGGTTCCATCTACAGAAGAAATTAAGCATCGATCAAGAACTGTGAGAACGGGAGTGGAGTGTTTCATCGATCGAGTAATAGTGATCGGGTTGCGCGAAAGCAAATTGTTCGCCGCAGATATATTTTTAGTATTAAGTGTAATTTTTAATAGTTAGTATTAGATTAGCTTAATGTAAGCAGGAATCATATCGTGAACCTATTGTTTCATTTGTGTTGACCATATTATCTTATTTAATTTTATTTGCGTCATATTTCTTATATTGTTTCTTTTCAGATTTAGTTTATTTTTATATTTTTTGGAAACAATAGCTTCCCTCTTAAGGGGAGGGCAAATTGTAACAGATTATTTCCTATATATTATTATTTATATTATTAACAGATTATTTCCTATATCCTTTACGTTCAAGTCGATGTTTTCGGTTATTAGTTTCGGGAGAGGGTCTTTTAACAGGAAGTAATAAAACAAACATCTTTCAAACGTGACTATTTTTGAATTCCCAAACTTATAGAAGGGCAAAGCAAATAAACTGTAGTACTTAGAAGTAAACAGAAAAATTGTAAAGATAGACCTTAGATAAAAACACTGGGACGTTGTAAAACCAATAACCACCCTTGATAACATGTAACTATCGCCGGATATTTGTAAAGGATCTGGGAACTTTAGGAAAGCACGTAACTAGACGTAAACGAGAATTAAATACGTAAAATGGTCATAGTACTGCCATCTAACAACGGGAGGTCGAACCAATTTGGTTTGAAGGGCGGTGTCAAGCCGACCAATCAAGCAAAGAACAGTACCTTTAGGGATGATCCTATTGGCGAAGTACCGAATGCACCACCCTTCAACCCTGTAATGTTGGAACCTCGGGGCTGTTTTTAGGCAGAAAAGTTAGTTCGGTTTAAGTTTCTAAAAGAGACGGTTCTCTCTCGGGTTAGCGAAACTCGGTAAGGTTCACGATGTGACCCCCTGTAGTTTTTAAGTGTCTGCTAATAGTATTTTTTTTATGTCCTTTTGTCAAATGTTTTTAATTTTCTTCTCTAAAATTATTTTAATGTGTTGTAGTAAGATTTAGTAATGAAAGTTCAATTGATTATGTAATTATCAGATTTTTCAACAAAGCAGACACCAGACAATTTTCTTGTATTTTTCCATCTCTTTTCCATTTTTAGTAATAACAAGTAATTTCGATCATATATATATATTTTTTTATTTGTTCTTTATTTTCTTTTTAATATTAAATTTAAATGTTTTCTAAAAACTCGGCCGTTTTATTTCTATAGTAAAAAATAAGAGTGTTTTAAAAGTATATAAATAAGATCCTTATGAACGGGTTCGCGAAACTCGAATATCTCCAGAGCAGTCCCGAAAAGTCTCGAAAAATGAGCTACATATTTACAGACAGAGGTCGGGCCGCAATTAAGGCCGCAATTAAGGCCGTAAGTTATAATAGATTTGAGAGACTAACAGCACTAAGACAAAGCATTAAACATACGCTCCAAAGAGTCGATGTACTTCTTATCCAAGTTTGCCTTCCGCTCAACTTAATTGTTTTTTCATAATTATAAAATAGTCACGCTACCCATAGACAAGTGATTGATCCGTAAAGATTTTGGTCCCACTTGAAGGCCTATCAAGACAAAGTTTTGGTCCCACTTGAAGGCCTATCAAGCTCTAATTGATGTGCCTATGGACATTGATGCTGCAACTGATGAGGATACAACTTTTACTGATAGAGTAAGTCACATTTATATGCTAAAACATAAACCCGGTATATTTTTTTGCTATTTGGGATTTACAGATCATTACGTCCGAATGCATCGCTTATCGATCTACATTTTCCCAAATTTGTTTTTTTTATTAAATTTTATTTTTGTATTTAAAAACACTGAATACACTACTTCTTGAAAAATGTAAACTTAATTTTTTCTTTGTAAGGTAGGTATTTATGTTTTATTTCGATTTACTTTACTTTTATTTACTTTGATCTTTTTTTACTTATTAGTATATAGTGCTTTACATTAACGTCCCTCCCTCCCTCTATATCCTAAACGTTTCGAGATAGAAAATTGAAATTTGGAGCGTCAGACATAAATCCGAGGGTACTTACGATAATGTACCAACTTGAAGTACCAAATTTGGTACTCATGGTACCACCCTTAATTTTATAACATCAGATAGCTCTTGAAAAGTTAAGATAGAAGAGTTAAATTCATTTTTTCCTATCTCTAACCGTTGTTGAACTGTAAATTTGAAATTGTGACAAAATGTCGATTTTCAGTTGCTTGTATCTTGAAAACGGTTGCTCTTAGGTATGGGAAGTTTTTAACAAAAAATGTTTAGATTAATAATAATAATAATAATAGATTAATCAAGATAATCAAAAATGAAAAATATACAGGGTGTTTCATTAAAAAAATATCCAACATGGCGCCCAGCCGCCATCTTGAAATCTAGGACTGTCAATTATATGTTAAAATGTAGTATTTTGTACCTTATTTTGACCCTCCAGATTTCAATTTTTCATCTCAAAGCGTTTAGGATTTAGAGGGTGGGGAGGACATTAAAGAAAGGTACTGTATGTAAGGTTTTGTAGTTTCTTACATGTTGCATTTGGGCGTAAAATAATCTATAATTCGAAAAGCAAAAAATATACAGAGTGTCCCATTTAAAAATGATAAGGTGCGGCGATTTCTGATAAAACCGGAAGTAAAAAAAATAATACTCGGTAAGGTCATTATTTATTTTTTACGTTTCAGGACATTTCAGCATTTTCACCTGAGGCCTTCACAGATATAGCTGGCCCTTCATCAGCACCAGATAATATAGGAGTTCAGTCACCATCATCGACAGTATCAGTGGTTAGCTCTATTTCTGAACCGATTTTATTAGAAATCAAAGATGACATTCCTAAAGGACTTCACCCAGATTCTTTCAGTTTGAAAGCAACCGTGGGTCTGCCCTACATTCCAAATCCTGGAATGCTTAGTTTAAGTACTGCAGTAAGCTTATTTTATTTTCTTACAACTTTTTTCTGTATATTGTTCCAATTCTAGACTGTTAAGCGGTTAATCGATGATACTGAGGAAGGTCGACTGATCGTGGCTAGTTACAAATCCGGCGGAGTCTTTTTAAGACAAAAATTGGTTTCCCTTATTATCAGCAATGAGTTATCAAATAACCCCAGGAAACGGTAAAGGCGTTTGGCTCTTAGTCATATTTTTTTTATAAAATTGATTTTAGCATTTCTTCTGAGCGCTTCAAAACCCTTGCTCAAGAAATATATGATCTATTTCCCCATGAAGGCCCAGGCGTATATTATCTGCCTTATGTGACAGAAAATGGAGATACGAGGGCTGCCAGCGGAAAGTGATACCACCACTATATACAGGTTAGAAAGCAATATAGAAATCTGGGCCTCCTTAATGTGAAAAAGGGTAAACAGGAGCAAAGTTGTTCTGGTAAGTAAGTTGTGGTTGTACTTTTTAATTTAATAGTTTTTTTTGTTTTTTTACCCTTTAACTTTTTAATTAGTTTTGTTATATTATTTTTTATATGATTTTTTTACTTGTATTCTTACTATATTTTTAATTATAGCTGTTCAAGAGGGTTACGATGAAGACCATTTAACATGGTTGAAAAATAATATTGAACCTTTCACGAAAGTTGAAGACTTCTGGAAGGAAACGTTTTCCGTCAGAGAGCAGATGTTGAAATCTGAAATAAGTATTTTCAATTATTTCAAAACATTCCCCGCTCTCAGATGCCCGCTTGGCTATGCTTTGGTAGGTTTTCTATAGGTATTTTATTCATCTGAGAAAAATTTGGTATTAATGTGACTACCTACCTAATGCTGAAGTTTATTTCTAAAAATGTGTTTTTTTTCAGCTTGTTGATGATTTCAACAGACTGCACCCGGGTCAGGAAAATACATTTTATAATAAGTTGGAAAAATTTACTACAGCGGTGGTAAAATTATCAGAGAGTGGTAATAAGTTCCTAAAAACAGTCATTGAAAACTATTCAAAAACTAAGAACCTTGACAATTCCAAATTAGAGAATCTCGATGGTATGTGCGCTATTAAAAGTAATATGCATTAATTTAATAACCTATCTTTTAGATGCAGACCAACTATTTATATTAAGTGTTTTACCATTTGTCTTTGCAAGTCAAGCCCCCATCAAGTCCAAAAATAAATGGCGCCCAAGTAAATTGGAGGCTAAAGAGGGGTTCATTATTCATGTTAAGGTAAGAAATAGAATAAGTTATCAATAAATCACCCTGGGTGTATTTCATAAACTAACAAGGGGGGGGGGGATTGTATTTTCTAGTTCTGAAAAAATCTTATTAACCTTAAGAGCGCTTTATTAAACAGTTCATGTTGATGACATAAATTTGATTTTTAATAAGAATTGGGAGCTTTCAATTTTACATTTTTTTAAGCATAGATATTTGTACTACGATTTAGAGCGCTGCTGATGTAGAAATTACGTTAGAGCAACGAAAGGATAAGTACCAAGCCTTCGGACTTACAGCTCAACCAGTGCCGATTTGGGTTGGGGAGTTGAAAAATATTGTGGCGAGTTACGTTAGTGTTAATGACGCTGTATATAAAGTAGAGAGCCCATTAAAAGCAATTGATGTAACCTTCAAACTCTATTTTGCTCTTGGCGCTCAGTATCCGCCTGAAGCTAAGTTAGCGTGGCTCCTACTACAAAAGGGAATTTATAATATTCATGAAAATGAAAAGTCATATATATCCCTTACAACAATTTTAAGCGACATAAAAAAACATATGTCCTAAGTTAAGTTATTTTAAAAAATGTTATGTTTTGTTTGTTGTATTAATATTCCCTCCATAAAAGGAATAATCTATCATTTAAAAAACGAACACAATTTGAAAGATAATGTACAATTTCTAATTGCTTTAGAGCATTTTGTGTTTTAAACTCTTTCCGAAAACATTTAAAAAGTCACGAAACTACTGATAGAGATAATTTAACTATTAATCCCGCTTTACAACAAGAACATTTGGATAATGCAGTTAATGATGATGGTGCGATTACTGCAGAAAATCCGGATTTTACCGAATTTTCCAATCTAAATTTAACAGATAGTGTGGAAAATGACAATATACAAATTGAGCAATTATTACAGTCCTTGATAAATAAGCAAGATGGTAACGTTGCTTTGTTCATCTCAAAGTTGTATAACAATCCTTTAATTCCAAGAAAAGTTATCCTAGACATAATCCAGAACTTTAAATCCTTATTTTTTAACAAGGATTCGTTATTACCTGTACTAAAACAGAATGTATTAAAGTGTCTAGTTAATTCTAATGTAAATCAAGACGACGCACTTGCTCTAATTAAGTCAGGTTTGGAGGCGATTGAGAAATCGTTTGATTCCTTCACGACTGAACACAAGTCTTTTCATTATTTTACAAATTCGGGATTTTTTGTAGCAGCTCGAGACTGTATAATCGGGCAGCGTTTAGTCAGCAAGGTTACCGATGGTGTTGTACTTTTAGAACCACAGAATATTACTTGTAGGGTTGTACCTTTAAGAGATGTTTTTAAACTTTTATTTGAAATTCCAGAGTTTTTTGATAATATGAAAAAACATTATGATACCATTTCCTCTCATAAATTAATATTCAAAAATTTTATACAAGGAGCTTTATGGAAAAACAAAACAAAAGAATTCAAAGAAAAAAATGTATTTCCTCTCTTTTTGTACTTTGATGATTATGAGACAGGAAATGTACTTGGATCTCACTCTGGGAAAAATAAGCTAGGGGCGATTTACGTCTCAATTGCATCGATGCCTTATGAGTGGACGTCTTCTTTAAAAAATATATTTTTATTTTCATTATTTTATTCTAGTGATAGATCTAAGTTTGGTAATAAAGCCACATTTAAAGAAGTTATTAGTGAACTTAAATACTTAGAAGAAGAGGGAATTGAAGTAAACATAAATAATGATAAAATAAGAATATATTTTAAACTTGGTCTGATACTCGGTGACAATTTAGGCCTTCATAGTATTCTGGGGCTCACTGAAAGTTTTTCGGCCAATTACCGGTGTAGATTTTGTAAAATTAATAAAGTTCAGTCATTTACATGTTGTAGGGAAGATACGTCTTTATTAAGGAATAAAGAAAACTACAATACCGATTTGCTTTTAAACGATATTTCTCAAACGGGCATTAAGGAAAGTTGTGTTTGGCATGATTTACCAGATTTTCATGTAAGCACTAACTTTTCTGTAGATGTAATGCACGACTTGTTTGAAGGGGTGTGTAATTATGATTTGCTGGGAATTTTACAATACTTAATTATTGAAGCCAAGTTGTTTTCGCTCGATACCCTAAATTCAAGATTAAAAAATTTTAATTTTGGTGAACAAGAAAAATCTAATAGGCCTCCGTTAATCTCATTAGATGCTTTGAAAAATGGGATTCGTATGTCAGCCAGTGAAATGTTATGTTTTACAAGGTACTTAGGATTAATGATTGGCGATTATGTTCCTAAAGATTTTCCCATTTGGGAACTTTGGATATTATTGCGTCAAATAATTGATATTGCAACTGCACCATCGATTCATTTTTCAGAGTTCAAATACTTGAAAACATTAATTGAAGAACATAATAATCTTTACATTAGGTTTTTTAAGAATCTAAAGCCTAAACACCATCATCTTGTGCATTACCCAAATGTTTTATATAATTCAGGGCCCTTGGTACATTTTTGGTCAATGAGGTTTGAACAAAAGCACAGAGAAAGTAAAATGACTTCGAATATCTCGTGCAACTTTAAAAATATCTTGCTTACGCTGACAACAAAATCGCAATTACGTTTGTGTCACGAATTTTTAAGTGGTTTCGTTAAAAAGGGTATTAACTTTAGTAAGACAGTAAATATGTCGATAGAAGTTCACAGGTTACATTTCTCTGATTTTGATATTACTGACCTTACAATGGTTAATTGGGTTGAAGTAAAAGGAACAACATACAAGCCCAATATGGTACTAGTAGTTTCTTTTAATGATGATCTTCCAGAGTTGGGAATTATTAAGCAAATAGTTTTAGTAAAGAAAGACTTTGTTTATTTTATCTGTGAAGTTTTACAAGTTGTTGATTTTAATAGTCATTATTATGCGTTTGAGGTTGAAAATCCAGATAATGCTGATACAAATAAGCTTGTTAGTTATAAGAGTTTACATGACTTTATGGCCATGTTTGTTACATGTTGTGTCTGATCAATATTTTGTAAGTATGCGACATGCAATGTAAAAAAATAGTTTTAGTTGCAGTCAGTATTAGTTTGGTTGAAGCTTTATTGAGAGAGTTGTTAACATCACCTCTTATTTCTTTAAAGGAAAATCCTGTACACCTTGTTAAGTTATTTTTACAATTTAATATAAGAGTTTTTAAATAATGTCTTTTTTTTGCTCTCTTACCATTTAGAACAGAGGCCAGATCAAGTTTGGGCCATCGCGTCCCACGCTGAACCCGTTCTCTATAGCATTGCAAAGGTAATGTCTCTAATGGCCCATAATTTTTGGTTCAGTCTGTTTTGCTACTACTCTTTTTATTAGGTTTTTGTGCTTACACTTAATTTTATATTTTTCTTTCTTAAAAATAGGACAAACATACGTACTTACCTACCTACATTTTAAATAGCACTCTATAAAGAAATTTAAACAAAACAACTTGAAATTTGTATAGACAAGTTACACATTTTGGTGCTTAAGTCGCTTACAAAACGGAATATCCATTTAGTTTTTGCCAAAAAGGCATATGCAATATACAATGCGTCCGCGGATCGGGTTTACGAGAGGAAAAAGTTTTTTATTTTTCATTTTTCGAAAAAAAAGTAATTCTTTATAAAAAGTTCTGCTTGTCAAAAAAATGCGATTGCCTTATTAAAATTTTAAATTTAGTATACAGGATGTTAAAAATTAGGAAAAAAAGAAAATGTGTCAAGAGAGAAGTACCATTATTTATTAGTTTTACCAAAAATGTTATAAAACACAAAGTTGTTTATAAACTCACATAAAGTCTAAGTACAAATATTTAATTATCCAGCTAGGTCACCTGACCTTTCATTACTGGACTTCTTTTTATGGGGTGCGCTTAAACAAAAGCTATTTTCGGGCAACCTGCCACATAACTGGGAAATATTAAAAGAACGCATACAGTATGCAATTCATGAACTTAATGAACCACGAATCATTCGTAAAGTGTACGGTAAATTTATTGGGTTAGCGGAAAAGTGTGTGGAGGTGGGAGGTAGCTATGTAGAATAATTTTAAATATTTGAATTTTTATTATTGTACTTAGACTTGATGTGAGTTTATAAAAAACTTTTTTTTATAACATTTTTGATAAAACTAATAAATAATGGTACTTCTCTCTTGACACATTTTTTTTAATATGGTAATCACATTTTTTGACAAGCAGAACTTTTTATAAAGAATGACTTTTTTTTCGAAAAATGAAAAATAAAAAAGTTTTCCCTCTCGTAAATCCGATCCGCGGACACACTGTATAAAATATTTCAATTCTATTTTGTATATTGACCTTACAAATTGGAATTCCCATTTAGTTTTTGTCATATAAGCGTCTACAAATTACAATCAGAGCTCAATTAGATTTTGTATATTGACTTACAAATTGGAAGAGAATGAATTACAATTTAAAAACAAGTCACATATTTTTGTAATAAATTCTCTTACGAATTGTAATATCCATTTAACAAATAAAACATTAAATTGTTTATATAATAAAACACTTTTTATTTTATGCACCATGTTAGCATCATCAGCAGATGATTATAAACTGTCTCTATGTAACTGTTTAGTTTATAATCATCTGCTGATGATGCTAACATGGTTAGCGAAACGCGCGTCCAGTGTAAAAGTAAAAGTGTTTTGGTGTATTGTGGTGATTTAGTGTTTTTATTTTGTTGTTTAATACCAAAGGTTCCAACCCTCAACTGTAATATCCATTTAGCTTTTCTCATATCAACGTCTACAAAATACAGGAATTATTACACTTCTATTTTATAAATTATCCTACAAATTGGACGAGTCGTTCATTTGTTTTGGAATCTAGAAACCTAAAATGTGACAGGCAATTGACAAAATTGTGTAATAAGTTTTCTTACAAAATATAGAATTAATTACTATTGGGCTGTTGAACTTTTGGTAACAATAATTACATTGTAATGAATAAAATGTAAATAGTAACTTTATAATTTTCTTATTTTATCAATAACAATTTTGCAAGCTTGAGGTAACTTTTTTGGTGCTGTCCCTATATTCATCTTTTTTTGTAAGGTCTAGTTATATTTTTTTAGAACTGACTCTTACAAATTTTTTTCCGTGTTCCACTGTTTAAGTCATCAACATAAAAATCAGTGTTGTGTAGAATTAGAACCTGGAATTCAGCTTGTTAGGTGTGCTTTTAAAAATCGAATTAAATCTTATAAGATAACTTCTGAATCACATCCGAATAATATTATCCTATATTTAGATGCTCTTAAAGATACTATTGTACGTTTACTTCAGGAACATATATCGATTCATACCTCCATCAAATTCAATATGGAATTATTTTGTTCCTATATATTAGGATCTGAAACGAAAGAAGATATTAAATCGTTTAATTCCCGATATGATGTTGTTTACGAAAATACAAATCTGGAGGAAGTATTCAACGAGTTTAAACAAGTCTTAGTGACGAAATCTGACGCTTTCCAAGAAAGAGATAGCGGTTGGTCGTTACGTAAGATTCTATTTTTAGAATTGAATATAAACAAGTTTAAACAAATAAATTAGTTTGGTGGTGGTAGGGGAAGGAAGTAAAGGTATACGATCAATTAGTAATCGTCAAGACATCTGTT